GCATCCGGAGAAATTCATATAGCCCAAACGGTGTTGCAAAGGCAGTCTTGTGTCTGTCGCTTTCCTCCACTGCTACCTGATGGTAGCCACTGGCTAGGTCTAGGGTTGAAAAGTACTGCGCTCCACGCAGGGCATCAAAACTTTCATCAATGCGTGGTAGAGGGAAAGCATCCTTTTTGGTCTTATGATTTAATTTCCGGTAATCAACACACAACCTTATACTGCCGTCTGATTTCCGTACCAGCACTATGGGGGACGCATAGGCACTGCTGCTCTCTTGTATAACACCTTTCCTTAACAGCTTGGAAATGTGTTCTTGCACTTCCCGGTACTGATTGGGCGGAACCCGACGGTATGGCTGTGTAACAGGCTCGTCATCAACTAGATGTATCTCATGCTTAACTGTGTCAGTGTAGCCAAGGTCTTCATCCTCTACTGAAAAAATATCAGAGTACTTAGCCAGTAATGCTCGCAACTGGGTCTGTTGATCAACACTACCACCAATGTCAAGCTTGTCCAGAATAGATTGCAGTTCACAGTTACTAGGCCCTTCACCCACATCCAGCATGATCTGTTCAATGTCAGCTGAAATCCTTTGAAACTTCACTGCACACTGTGGTTCATTATCCATGCATTCTACTCTTGACAAGATACCCAGCCGAGTACGAGGGGAGAGCCAAACATCCTCCAGTGAGAAATTTAATATCTGTACTGGAAATGTGCAGTCATTAGAACCAACGAGTGTGGGAACAACTATAAGACCTCCTGGTAGTTGCACACTAAGCGGTTCGAGCAGCATTGATTGATTGTTACCCGCACTCTTTGATGCCCTCTTTGCTAGGAGGGTCACCACTGATCCTGCGGGGATGTGCTCCATGTTTTTTCCTGCTACTCGGACAACCTCTTTTCGATCGACCTCACACTTCTGCATTTTCTGGAAAACACTTCTCCAGTCTGAATCCAACTTTCCTCCTAAGGTAGTATCAAATTCTGCATACACCAGTTGCCTGCATTGGCTGATAATGTTCATACCAATGATACATGGAACTGACTGTTCAGTGTCACGAGGATCTTTGACTACCAAGAAACAACAATCGGGCATTCTTAGACCCATGGCCTTAACCTCCAGCTCTAGATATCCAAGGTAGGGTATCTCAAGGCCGTTAGCGGCTGTCAGCTTAAGCCAACCAGCAGTGAGCAACATATCATCATCTTCTCCTGACAGGTGCTTTCTGAAGAACTGCTCAGTAATAGTGCTCACTTGGCTACCTGTATCCAGTAAGCATGGAGTCTTTACACCACCAATCTCCAGTTCAACTATTGGACATGTCCCTATGGCACGCTGTAGTAAGTGGTCACGAGAAGGCTGTACATTATCTGAGTCTATAGGGCTCCCCCGAATTGCCCGACTCACAACAACCAGGGGGGACTCGTTTCCCTGCAAGCTCGTAGAGGCTGATGTTACCTTTCTGGAACCTGGTTTTTGTGGACAGTGTTTGGCTATATGCCCTGGAGTCTCACACCTGAAACAGACTGGCTGCCCATCTTCTGTGTACTTGGGTTTTACTTTAGGTTTGCTGACAGTACTACTTGCACTAATCCTCTGTACTGTAAGATCCTTTACTGCTTGAGTTAATTCACTTATGGCATGACTTTGCTCTACAACCACTTTTACCACATCTTCTAGGGTGACAGGCAGTGGTTCGTGCACCTTAAGACCTGAGCACTGTGCTAGGCCACTGCTACTACCTTTCAGTTTAACTGTTTTGGCTTTTGTGGAAGATTCTTCTAGAAACCACAACTGAGCTTCTTCCCGCACATCAATCATAGATGATTCAGGGTGATTTCTAACATATTTGCGGAGCTCTCTCCTAAGAGAAGGATCTCTAACCCCTTCTACGAATTGGTCCCTCAGCACTAATTTCTCATCAATTATGAAATCAGGAGAACATTTTAATAACAAGCTAAGGGCCTGTGCCAAAGCATGTGAAAACTCCCTTATGCCCTCCCCCTCTTGTTGCCTACGGCTGTAGAAGCTATGCAACAACTGAGGTGTGCTGCGTTTGTCGCGAAAAGCATCTCTGAGGTATGTGAACAAGTCACTAGCATTACTTTCATCAGAATGGCCATGCATTCGTGCTTCTTCTAAAGCTGGGCCTCTTAAAAGTGACATAACAAAATCATATTGGTCTTGATCAGACAGATTTCTAGCACGAAGTACACGTTCAACTTCTTCAATAAAGTCATCAGTATGCCTGCCATCTTTTTCAAACTCACCACTGAAAGGAGCAATGTGTCTTTCTTGTGGAACATAAACATAGGATCTGTTACTGAGTGTAGCTATAGTTGCCATCGCTTCCTCATGCTTAGTATGCAACTCTCTGATTTGTTCTTGGAGGTTTGGTTCTGGTTGTGCATCACCTGACTGAGACATAGTAATACTACAGTCTTTTCAGTCCCTACCATAAATTTGCCAAAGGATAAACATTCTCCTTAAAGTCCACCAGCAGCAGCTGACACGATGATCCCACTGGAACAAGGTCTCTGTTGTAGTATCTCAGTGTCGCCCTCTGGATTACTGACGTGGTCCTGAAGCACCGCCACAACAACTGCAGGGCATCTGACTCGTCCTCCGTGTCTCAGGGCTCTCCAACCTGCTCTTCACCACTACCGTATTATGTACCGAATTTTATATTTGCATAAACCAAAAACTGAAAATTCCTCTTTAATAATTGAAAGGACCCCACTCCTGGTACCAAAAATTGTAGCCCGGGAAAACACACACGGGACGACAACTTATAAGCTATTGGGTCCGTTTATTCTCTATCAGGATTTCAAAGATTTGATGTAGTGAGAGGAATTCAGCTCAGTGTCACAAAAGTATAACAGCCAACTGAAACAAAGAAATAAAAAAAAACAAAAATATAAATTTTAAATGGACCTGGCTCAAATACTCTTTCGGTCCGCTACAGCCTCTTATGAATACAGCTCAAAGAAAACAATTAGGCAAAATAACATAAGTACGTACAGTACAAATAATACGGTAGTGGCTGTTGTAAAGATAAACACACCATCAAAACCGCACCACTTTTGTTTTGTACAAAATCATCTATACAGCACATTTATATAAATCCTCTCTTTTCTCAGAAAAATCAGTACTCACTTTGCTTGTGTGCGAAACACCAAAACACATGTAGCTTAGACCACTTAGACCAGTTTAGCTTCTATCATTCACGATAACTATATGAACAGAAATGGGAATATTCACCACCATTATTGACAATAGTAGAATATTTTGCATTCCTATTACAACAAACTACCAATAAACTGAACATAAAACTCTATTAAGGGGCTGCCTTATAGCTTTTAACAGCTAACACGGATTATATAGGCAAACTGACCTGCTCAACTGCTGAGAAAGTCTCCATGCACACGAAATTTCTATCTTGTGCTTTAAACCTAGAAATATTTGACATCCCATCGTTAAACATCTAAAATAGCCAACAGCTTATGCTAGTGAAGCCTATTTTAGCGTTTACAGGAGTATAATTCGAATATTTTCACCTTTCCTCCCACAGCTAGTACACTGCAGCTCTAACCAGCTTCTTCTGGTTTCTTTGAATGCACTCGCTCGTTCTGTGCTCTGCAAAACAGCGCCCCCGTGAGGTCTTAAAGGCACAGGAACCTATTTATGCTTTTAGATTAATGTAGGTGAAACTGATAGGATCTAATTATCACCTGGCTACATAAGAAAAGGCTCTTCCCCCAGCTGAAACCTTCTGAATTTTGGGAACTATTAAAAAGCCAGCACTCTGTGATCTGAGTAATCGTGGTGGCTCATAATGGGAAGTAAGGTCTTGCAAGTACTCAGGAGCGAGCCCATGTAGGGCTTTATACGTCAATAAAAGAATTTTGTAATCGATACGGAATTTAACAGGCAGCCAATGGAGTGATGATAGAACTGGACTGATATGATCAAATTTTCTAGTTTTAGTGAGAACCCTGGCTGCAGCATTTTGAACTAGTTGAAGTTTACTTAAATTCCTGCTGGTGCATCCTGACAGTAGTGCGTTACAATAGTCTAGCCTTGAAGTAATAAAGGCATGTACTAATGTTTCTGCATCATGCAGCGATAAGGCATTTCTTACTTCAGCGATGTTGCGAAGATGTAAAAAAGCTGTCCTAGTGATATTGCCTATGTGTTGATCAAATGATAAATCTGGATCAATTATGATGCCATGGTTTTTTGCTGCTGAACCAGGTATAACTGGAAAGTCAGCAAGATTTAAAATTAAATCTGGTAATTTATTTCTTGCCACTTTTGGACCCAGAAGGAGAACCTCTGTTTTGTTACTGTTTAGCAGGAGGAAGTTACGCAACATCCAGCCTTTCACATCTTTTACACAGTCCTCTATTTTCTTCAACCTGTATTTGTCATCAGGCTTGGCTGATATGTACAATTGCGTATCATCTGCGTCATCAAGTTAATGCCATGGCTACTTATAACTGTGCCTAACGGTAACATGTATAATGTAAATAATAATGGTCCTAAAATAGAGCCTTGCGGAATTCCAAATCTTACTTGTGAATAATTGGAAGATGAATCATTTACCTTTACAAACTGATAACGTTCCGTTAAGTAAGATTTGAACCACGATAGGGCGGTCCCTGTGATTCCAACCATGTTTTCTAACCTTTCTAGGAGAATATTGTGGTCTATCGTATCGAAAGCTGCGCTGAGGTCAAGTAGTACCAACAGGGATACGTAGCCTTGATCAGAGGCAAGAAGAAGATCATTTGTTATCTTAACTAGAGCTGTCTCAGTGCTGTGATGTGGCCTGAATCCAGATTGGAATTTTTCATATATGTGGTTCTTATGTAGATATGAACTAAGTTGTTGGGCTACAGCTTTTTCTAAGATCTTAGATATAAATGGTAGGTTAGAAATAGGCCTGTAATTAGACAATACGCTAGCGTCAAGGTTTGGTTTCTTGATCAGAGGCTTAATAACTGCTAGTTTAAAAGCTCTGGGTACATGGCCCAGGCTAAGGGACGAGTTTACTATAGTTAAAAGAGGATTAATGATAATTGGTAGCACTTCTTTGAGTAATTTTGAGGGGATTGCATCAAGTGTGCAGGTTGTACAATTTGCAGAGGAGATAATCTTCTCTAGTTCTAACTGTGGTAGTGGGTAGAAAGTTTCCAGCCTTTCCTCTGCAACTACGTTATGTTTTATATCAGCCACATCAGATGACAGCCAAGTTGGATTTAATACTGTGGGTTGAATTTGTTGTCTAATATTTTCAATTTTATTATTAAAAAAGTCCATAAAAACATCACTGGTGAGAGTCGCCGGAATTTGTGGTTCAGTGCCTGCCTGATTTTTTGTAATTCTGGAAATCACACTAAACAGTACTCTAGGATTATATTTATTATTCTCGATCAGCGAGGCCAGATATGCTGAGCGAGCTTTAGTGAGAGCATTTCTATACTCTATAAGGCTTTCCTTCCAGGCAAAGTGGAACACTTCTAGCTTGGTTGATCGCCATTTCCGCTCTAGTTTCCGTACTGTTTGTTTTAAGGTACGGGTTTTATCATCGTACCATGGGGCAAGCTTTTTCTGTCTTATCCTTTTGATTTTAAGTGGCGCCACATTTTCTAAAGTAGATCGAAAGGTATTTTCTAAATAGTCGGTTAATACATCTAGCTCCATTGGGTCTGATGGAGTGGAGACTAGGGTTGTTTGTTCTGGGAGGTTTTCTGTGAATTGCAGGGCGGTAAATGGTTTTATTGAGCGCTTTGTAGAATAGCGAGGGGACGTACATATATTATGGCTAAGACGTAGCTCATAAGAAATTAAGTAATGGTCAGAGATTACTGAGGTTTGCGGTAGGATACTAAGCCTGTCTATGTCAAGTCCAAGTGTCAGAACTAGATCTAAAGTGTGACTACAGTAGTGCGTAGGCCCTGTTACATTTTGGGTAATACCAACAGAGTCTAGGATTGAAGTAAATGCCTTTTTTAGTGGGTCATCTGCCTTCTCAAAATGAATATTAAAATCTCCTACAATTATTACTTTATCATTGCACACAGCTAGGTTTGCAGTGAAATCACTAAATTCTTTTAAAAATTCTGTGTAGGGCCCTGGTGGTCTGTAAATGTTAAATAATGAAAATGCGTTCTTTTTTGTGGCCGGATTTGTAATGTTGATGGAAAGAACCTCAAAAGAAGTGAAAGTGTCACATTGTTTCTGACTGATATCTAGGGTATTCTGGTAGATTACACATAATCCACCTCCTTTGCCTGATAATCTTGGGCTGTGTACATAATTATAGCCTATAGGGGTAGCTTCATTTAGTGCTGAATATTCATCCTGTCTAACCCATGTTTCAGTGAGACAGAAAACATCAAATTTATGATCACTTATTATTTCATTTATGATGACTGCTTTTGAGTTTAGTGATCTTATATTAAATAACCCAAATTTTAGAACTGAGGTGTTGCTGCAATCATCTAAATATGATTTAATATTGATTAGGTTATTGAAGCGGGCTGATTGAGTTTTTCTACATTTAGATTTTGATTTAATTCGGGGCAAAGACACAGTCTCAATATAGTGGATCCTAGGTGACGCCTCAAGGCGGTTCGCAGACGGTCGGTTTAGCCTGTCTGTCTGCGGCCTGGTCCCGGCTCTGGATTGTCAGCAGCTGTTTACACTACTCTGCCGACTAACTAAAAGACTATGTGCTATGCTGCAAGAAAGTAAGGCAGCACCCTCCCGCGTGGGGTGGACACCATCCCTACCTATAAGACCAGGCTTGCCCTCGAAATGTAACCAATTATCTATAAAGCCCACTTTATTTTCCGAACACCACTTGGACATCCAGCAGTTTAACGCTGAGAGTCTGCTGTAGGCTTCAGCGCCGTGCCGCATTGGGATGGGACCAGAGCAGATTACGGCATCGGACATCATCTGGGCCAGTTTAATCACCTCTCTAATGTTACCCTTAGTTACCTCAGACTGCCGCAGACGAATATCATTGGCCCCTACATGGATGACTATCCTCGAATATCTCTTATTAGCTAACAGTCTAAGGTTGCCGCTAATGTCCGGCGCTCTGGCTCCCGGTAAACAGCTGACTGTTACTGCTGGCACCCCTAAAGGAGTAGCTAATTTCACGTGTCGAACGATCAAGTCTCCTATAACCAGAGCACTTTTAACAGGCTCCTCAGCAGGTGTTTCGCTGAGCGGGGCAAACCTGTTTGACACGTAATTTGGAGGAGTGTGGTGTTCTGGTGGGCTAGCTTTGGCCTCAGCGTTAGCATTAGCCTTAGCTTTCCGGCTATGTCGCCGAGACGTCACCCATTCACCCCGCTGTGAGGGCTCTAACGCCGGAGTCGAGGGGGTGCTGACTCTCCCTAAGGCAGCCAGGGCTGCTAGCAGTGAATCTCGCTGTCTGTCCCTTAATAAATCCCGGATGCGCACCTCTAGCTGGTCCACCTTTTCCACCAGGGAGCTAACTAGCTGGCACTTAGCACAAACACAGCCACTATCATTATCGCTAGAGGTGGAAAAGGGGATTAAACTAAACATGCCACACTCTGAGCAGGCAAAGAAACCAGCAGTAGCCATGGTATTGCAGGAACTTACCGTTTTTGGTTGATTTAGGAACTTAGCAGAAAGATAGCGCTGGAACGGTGGGTCAGCAGTCTGTGCGTGTGTTCATTTAGAGCCAGTCGGGAAGAGCTACGTCAAGCAATGTATTTTAAATGATAACACTTTTACTTCTCCCTACTGCTTTTCCCTCAGTTCCACTTCAGTCATTAATGTTTAGTTGCTTGTTGGGGTTTCATTGTGTCATCTTGTTGAGGTGGTTCAGCTCCTGTTTTGCTTCTTTGTTGCTCACACCTCTCACTTTCGAGCTTTAATATTTTATTTTAGATGCAAAAGGCAATAAAAACCTAAGAATATACACTCTTCAGTTCCTATGCTGAAAGATTCCGGATGTACTGAGCTCGACTGGACCTTTCCAAGTTACTCGTTACTTATGTATGTAAATGAGCGCAAGGTAATATTTTATATACAAAAGCTTACATTAATATGCTACATTCTGATGTATGTTAGATATGCTTCTGTGTGTACTGCAAGAAGGAATTATACATACCATTCTCTCAGTCATATCAGTCAGGCCTGGATGGGGCAGCATACTGAAATTATTTACTCACCTACCCAATTTCTCTTCCTTTTTCTTAATTTTATCATGCATGTGTGAGTGTGAATGGAACATTTTTAGGAAGTCATCATACATTTAGAAATTGTAAACAGACATTGTCATCAAAGGAAACTTCTCAGAGAGCATAATATGGCTTGTGTTAAAACCAATAATGTCTTAAAAATAAGTTACTAACATCTATTAAACATTACTAAATGTTTATGAGGTCTTGTTCAGTGAATTCAATATACCTGATGTAAAGTGAAAAACAATAGTGCCTTAGTAATGCATTACAAACATCTATTAAACATTATTAAAGGTTTATATGGTCTTGTTCCTTGAATTTAATATACCTGATGTAAAGTGAAAACCAATAATGCCTTAGTAATGCATTACAAACATCTATTAAACATTACTAAAGGTTTATAAGGTCTAGTTCAGTGAATTTAATATACTGATGTAAAGTGAAAACCAATAATGCCTTAGTAATGCATTACAAACATCTGTTAAACATTACTAAAGGTTTATATGGTCTTGATCAGTGAATTTAATATACTGATGTAAAGTGAAAACCAATAATGCCTTAGTAATGCATTACAAACATCTATTAAACATTACTAAATGTTTATAAAGTCTAGTACAGTGAATTTAATATACCTGATGTAAAGTGAAAACCAATAATGCCTTAGTAATGCATTACAAACATCTATTAAACATTACTAAACATTAATAAGGTTTAGTTCTATGAATTGAATGTACCTGATATTAAATGAAAGAGTAGTACTGTATTAGTACAGTACTAGATACTTTAATGCTATAATCTGAAAGCATTACACAATGTTAAACAATAAACAATGTTTACCTTCACATTCAACTACCCAGTAGAAACAGAAAAAAGCATAAAATTAACAAAACATAGGCTTTTTATTACTGACCTGTGACCATGTTTTCCGTCATTTAACAGAACTCTGCAACGAACATATTTTCAATATACCTTTAAATATTTTTTTTCTCTATATCTGAAACATTCAGTTCATAGCATCTTTGAACGAAAATTTAACACAAAATTGCTACAACTGAAAGGTTCATCACAGAGCTGGTGGTATGTCTCTGGTGTGGCAAGGGATAGCTCTGCAACGGAAGCAGTCTGTGCAATTGTGTTGTGGTCTACCCCGTATTTTTATAAAGATTTGGCCATTATGTTTTCTTTTATATGGCCAGCACTTTTTTCATATCTTTGTATCACCTCAGCAGGATCGTCAACTAAAGAAAAGAGAAGACAGAGACACTGACATAAATCTCTAAAGGAAACCTGTTTAAAACCCAAATAGAAAGTGTTTAAGTAAATGTTCCATAAATTAGTACCAGTGCATTAGTTAATCTTATTTAATTAATGGAAAAATTATTCTCTTATTAATATCATTAATAAAATTATTAATTATTCATTGTAGCTAGTTCTGACTGTGCAGCTACTGTTCAGTTGTAGTAGCAAATAAACAAAGGAACAGACAAATATTAACTGTACTACCCACAGCTGGTATATAAACTATATGGACAAAAGTATTGGAAAACCTGCTCATTCATTTGGACATGTAGTGTAGCATGATCGACCCACCCCTATGCTGTACAGTTAGAAAGGTGTTCTTTTCATAAAATGCGGTTTCTCTTTTTCTCCAAATGTTCCTATGTAATCTTATAATTATTTGCATAATGTGTCAGGGGCTTAAGTGAATACACATACCGCGATGGAAGGTGACCAATTTTTTCTCCTTTGTGCTCTTCTTCCCTTTTCTTCTTTCTCACCATCTCTTCTTCTTTTTCTTCTCAAATGAGGAATCAGTGGTGACAGAATCAGAGGACGATTGTGAAGAATCAAATGAGCTGGAATCTAGGATGACTGCTTTTTTCTTTCTTTTGATTTCATCCTCCTCATTCTCCTCCTTGAGCTTGTTGTCTAAAAACATCAACAACAACAAGAAATGAGTAAACAAACGTGAACACTTTTACATGTTCATCTCTGGTATAACTAGTTATAACTTGTCAATAACAATATAAACAGAAAAATCAAATGCTACTACAATGCATGTGGATACATTTAAATTTTGACTATTAACATATAGTGTAGAGATATAAATAGGGTGCAATGCATTTGAATACAGAATGCAAACACAACTTTTTCAAATATTAATGAAAGAGTCTGAGCTTAGCTAATCGTTTTAAACTGAACACAGATCACAAAGTTAGTTGCAAAAATACCTTTCTGTGGCTTGACCTAAGAGCAACACCGGGGTGGAAAGTTCTGTTCATTTTACTGAACCGGTTCTTTCGAACTTCTGAATCGAGCGTCTGATTCAACTGATTTAATAATTTCGTGTTATGGTTTTATAACGTCCACTTGTATATTTGATATTATAAGATTGTATGTATGATTAAGCGTATTACGCTGGGTTTATACGTTGCAAAGAAAAGTTTGGTTCGGCCGAATTGTTGAACTTCCCATCACAACACATTTAGCTGAACCTCGATAAACAACTTACCTCTGCTGGCTTGACTAGTATGGGAGGCAAATCCAACCAAAAAAGAAATTAAAATTAAAACCATAAAATGAAAATGCAAATGTTGCTATTTCTTTTTCCAAACGTCTGTGCAAATATCCTGCCAAAATTGAAAATGAAATGAAATGCCTACATTTGCAATTTCATTTTTCACATGAGCACAGGCCATTTGTGACAAAAATAAAAATAAATGCAAAACAGCTGTTTGTCATTTCATTTTAGTCGTTATTCTGGTTTTTCATGGCCAAATCTAAAATGAAAAAGCTAATAGAGAAAAGAAAATCCAAACTTCACTTTGGCTTTGGCTTTTCTTCATGAAGTGCAGAATATGTGTCAAAACTAAAATCAAAACGCGATGTTCACGTTCTTATTTCTTTTTCACAGCAATCGGCTGCAGATCTGACAAAATGAAAATGAAAATGCAAAACTGATAAATCAACAGCAAAGTGACAGTTTGTGATTCAGTTTTCGGCGCAGAATGAAAAGGCAAATGCCAACGAACATCAGCGCCCCCTGCTGGACATCTACTTTACATTTTCCACTTTTCGATTTCGTTTTCAAACTGACCAACATGCAAATATATGTTAATTAGCACTAGGCGGGGCTACGGGGTACATTTTAGGACATCCTCAGACCTCCGAGTCAGAGCGGCATCATTCCTCAAGCTAAACGACTTTGCGTCTCGAGAAAAATCATCGTCATGACTCAGATCTGGTGAAACTGAACGTCAGCACAAACGCCGTCAGACCAGACGGCCTCAGAGAAAATGTATCAGACCAAACGCAAGCCTGGTCGAGCATATAGTGTATCTCGATATAAATGCCAGTATAACATTTCCAGTTTTTTCTGAAGGTGTTTGTTCTGATGTTCAGTTTCGCCAGATCTGAGTCATGACGATGGTTTTTCTCGAGACGCAAAGTCGTGTTGAAAACGAAATCGAAAAGTGGAAAATGTAAAGTAAATGTCCAGCAGGTGGCGCTGATGTTCGTTGGCATTTGCCTTTTCATTCTGACACCTAAAGCGCGTCCACGCCGAAAACTGAATCACAAACTGTCACTTTGCTGTTGATTTATCAGTTTTGCATTTTCATTTTGTCAGATCTGCAGCCGATTGCTGTGAAAAAGAAATAAGAACGTGAACATTGCGTTTTGATTTTAGTTTTCACACATATTCTGCATTTCATGAAGAAAAGCCAAAGCCAAAGTGAAGTTTGGATTTTCTTTTCTCTATTAGCTTTTTCATTTTAGATTTGGCCATGAAAAACCAGAATAACGACTAAAATGAAATGACAAATAGCTGTTTTAAATTTATTTTTGTCACAAATGGCCCGTGCTCATGTGAAAAATGAAATTGCAAATGTAAGCATTTCATTTCATTTTCAATTTTGGCAGGATATTTGCACAGATGTTTGGAAAAAGAAATGGCAAAAAGAGGTTTGCATTTTCATTTTATGGTTTTAATTTTAATTTCTTTTTTGGCTGAATTTGCCTCCCATAGACTAGGTGTGTTATTGCCATCCGTTTTGCCTCGCTTGCTGCCTGAAGGAGAATGCTGCAGACCGGGGACCTAAAGGGGCGGGAACTGGGGGGCGGGAGTCTGTCAATCATTTTTTGCATCCACCAATTAAATAACTACTCTTGGCCGTCAATCACATTTTGCATTGACCAACCGCAGATTACAACGAGCTGTCCGTCATTTTTTGCATTAGCCAATCTAAGGGTCTGGCTGCAGACATGCACTCTCAGCCTGACATGCACCGCCAGCCTGTTAACGACGTCAATGCCGCTCTGCCACGGAAGTGCTGTTGTTGGTTTTATGCAGAGCCGTGTAAAGACAGAGTCGCGTCAACGGAAGTTCAAAATGCTTGATGATCACGTGATTCACGTACACTTCAGATAGTTCCAGGAAGTTCTTTGCG